GTTTTATGTATAAAAAGTTTTTCTCCATCGCTTTTAGTTTATGAGTTATGATTGAGTTAATTTTCGAAAATCCACAATTTTGATGTTTAATCGATTTAGAGCTTTTAAATAAAAAATAATAATAATTGGGTTCAATCTTGTTGTGGATCTAGTCTTTATGGCCCATTACTACGGTTTTATGTATAAAAAGTTTTTCTCCATCGCTTTTAGTTTTTGAGTTATGATTGAGTTAATTTTCAACAATGTTGATGTTTAGTCGATTTAAAGCTACTATATAAAGAACGGTTATAATTGGGTTCAATCTTTTTATAGATCTAGTCTTTATATCCATTACTAAGGTTTTATGTATAAAAAGTATTTCTCCATCGCTTTTAGTTTTTGAGTTATGATTGAGTTAATTTTCGAAAATCAACAATTTTGACGTTTAATCGATTTAGAGCAGTAGTGTCCACTAATTTTTGATCAAAATCGACTTTTTATATAAATATCTTGCCAAGATCGACCGAAGGGTTTAAAGTAACCTTACTTTTTTTTTGCTCTGAGGCCCAGATATTAGATATTTCAGATTCATGTAAAATCATCAAGCTCTGTTATAATTCCAGGTGTCCTACCTAGCTCTTTGGGACTCGTAACCTTTCCGCTATCTTTATATTCCTTCACTACTGTTGATTTTGCCACCCCTACAAACAAAACATTATTTGGCTTGATATAATTTTTAAAAAGTTTTTCTTACCAGCAACTTCGACAATTTTATCAACAATATTACTAATTTTCATTGGGTTTTCGTGATTAATGTATTGCTTGTAGAGATTTAGGATACTTTGCTTTTCAAACAAAGCTAAGTGTCCTAAATTCAACAATTTACGCTTTTTTGGAGGTGAAATTTGTTCTGAACAACTATTAGGGTCGCGATCCATACCTTGTTTTAAAAAGAACAGATTTCACTCAATTAAATTGAAGACGCAAAAGGGTTTAAACTTGGTTTAAACAAAATTTACAACAATGACACGAAACTGTCGAATTATCAATAACCTAACCTTCAAATTCAAAATCAAAATTCAAAATTGCCTGTGTGTGAACCTTCCTCGCATTCAACCAATCACGTGCAAGGTCAATCTGGTGACAAATTTAAAATACTCCTCCTGGTTTAAAAATAGAGTATAATAATATGCATAATATAAAAAAAAAGTTGGTACTCTAGGTAATACCAACAGAAACCCTAAAATGTTGACCTTGACAGGAATTTTGATGTTTAAACAAATCTTTATTGGAAGTAACAAACATTAAAGGTGCATTATAAGGTTAATTTTTAAATGTGTCGATTTATTACATATTTTAATATGATTTTTAATATTAATGTTATTATTTTAGGTACAAGTAGCTGCTTTAGATGAGCATAATGTACGTAAAGCGATCAGTCGTTATGGAACATTACCGAAAGGAGCTCGAATAGGAGCTTATTTAGAATCTTTAAGAGTGAGTGGAATGTCAAATAGTCAACAACAAGATCAACAGCAACCCGCGCAAGCGATTAATCCGGTTTTAGCAGAACAACAAAAAGAATCTCCGCCGCCGCGGTCGTTATCTCCACGAACCAACATTCGAACGCAACCGCAAATGATTCGAAGTAATTCTTCGGGTGGTGTAACCACGTTTCACGGTTTACACCCGCCCAATTCCCCCACAGCTTCCAAGTTTAACCGTGCCAGAACGGCGAATGTTCCAAGAGCGACGACAACGAGCGGTGAACAACCGTGCTTGCGTACATTTAAAACGAATAATAATCATTCTAGTTTTCATAGGGGAGGTGGGAGTCCTTCGAGGCATAACATACAACCGAGTTTAGCCGATTTAGAATTTCCCCCACCACCGGTCGATTTACCACCACCTCCCGAAGAATTTAACAATCCGGAAAACATCGAAGAAATTGGAGTTTTTAACAATCAAAAATCGATTTCAAAGAAACGATTGGCTGCTTCGCCTAGGGGCTTTCGTAAAGCAACTAACGATTTAGATGGTGGGGTTGAATCTAACGAGACTACGAACGATGTTAGTAATTTGAGGCCATCTGTTGATGAGGCTAGTTCAAGGTTTGGGGTTAGTTTGAGGAAACGAGAACCATCATCGGATAGTTGTAGTAGCGCGAAAGATTTGAAGGACGAGTTTCAACGGGAAAAAAGCCCGCAAAGGGTTAGTTTGAGTCTTACTAGTCCTAGCGTTGAAGGGAAAAGTCCTGTTAGTATTGAGTCTGATGTTCCGGTTGTTGGATCACCTTTGGAACCGTTACCACCACCACCATCTTTTCCGGAACTTGGTGAGTTAAAAAATATTTTAATTTATTGATTTGGTAAATCTATCTTGGTCGGAGAAGGTTAAATGTGTCCAACAAAAGTGTTCGTGTATGTATTTTATGTGGAATATTGGGACCATGACTTAATTAGTCAAAAGATCTATAACTTTATCTCATAAAGCCACAAAACGATAACCAGTATGTGGTTCATATAATATTAATCAAACTAGTACTAACACTAGACTTACAAGGGAAGAATTGGAACTGTCACGACTACCTTATAGTATATACCTTATAAATGAGTTTTCTAAAACAAAAGGGTAGTCATTTTTCACGGAGTGAATAATCGCGGTGAATAATAATCATTATTCACGAGTAATCAACTTGACAGACTAATAATAATTATTTGAAACGTCAAAATTTCAAAAAAACCTCAATTTAATTTAATTTTTTAGGACTTTCTAAACAATAGTTATTTACGTAACCAGTTATGACAAGATAAATTTTGTTTGACGAATGTAATAGTTGTTAAAATAAGCGAACAAAGCGGGCGAGTTTTGCAAATTACGTGAGTTAATCAAAATTTGCCGTTTCATGACGTTAAGTACAAAATTTTGCTCTAATTCCTTTAAAAAAAGCAATTTTTGTTCAAAATTTGACTTATTCTATTAGTGACAGATGTCAATTTATCAATTTGTAGTTATAAAAAAGTGGCGTTACAAAACGTCAAATAGACATGTAAAATTTAATTTTCATAATGGAATTAGATAAAATCCTTTTTTGTATGATTTAAACATAAATTAATTAATTTTCGTAAAAAAAACTACGTCTCATAAAATTGACATTTAATTTTAAAAAATTGTTACGTAGTTGGTTACAGTTGGTAACATTGAATTTGTGTCACATTGACGTTTAAACTTAATTCGAAAAATTATTTAAAAAAATAAATTTGTCCACGACTACCTTATAATATATACCTTATGAATGAGTTTTCTAAAACAAAATGGTAGTCATTTTTCACGGAGTGAATAATAGCGGTGAATAATAATCATTATCCACGGGTAGCCATCTTGACCAGACTAATAATAATTATTTGAAACGTTAAAAGTTCAAAAAACGTCAATTTAATTAAATTTTTTAGGAGTTTCTAAATGTTTGACATTAAAAAAACCTAAACAAATTCCTTTTTTCGTATGATTAAAGCATAAATTAATTAATTTTCCTAAAGAAAACGACGTTTTATAAAACTGACATTTAATTTTGACAAATTGTTGTGAAGTTGGTTACAGTTAGTAACATTGAATTTGTGTCACATTGACGTTTAACCTTTATTCAAAAATTTATTTAAAAAATAAATTTATGGAATCAATTTCAATAGTCGTGGACAAAGTATAGTATTCTACTCGCATATAATGAGCTATTATTCACTCAGGTTAATTATGCCACTCGCTACGCTCGTGACATAAACTTAACCTTCGTGACTAACAGCCCTCATTATATGCTCATATAATAATATACTATTATGGAATCAATTTCAATCGTAGTCGTGGACAAAGTCACATATAGCTAACATATAATGAGCTATTATTCACTCAGGTTAATACAGGGTGTTCCATTTAGGCGTAACGGAGAGTATGTAGATTTTTTTTAAATGGAACACTTGTATATTTTATCATATTATGAATAGCATTAAATTTGTTTATACAGCCCTATATGTTATTAACTAATAGCGTTCATAGTTCTTGAGATATTCAATTGTTTTTCAAAAATGTGTCCATTGCAGGATCTTTTTAAAAACGACATTTTTTCCAATTTTGCCTTGAAACTATGTCAGATCATAGTCAAAGGCAGTAGGTAAATGATAGTATCCAAAGATATAAGATACGCTATACAGCGTGTTCATAAAGTTTAGTTACTTTTGATGTTTTTCAAATGGCTCTTTCAAAAGGTTTTTTAAATGGAACAGCCTGTATATTGTGTGCTGATTGAATTGCCCATCAAGTTACCTTTAATTAATGATAAGCATGTCATATGTCTAACTTTAATAGTTTTCTAAAAAAGTGACAGAATGTAATATATTCTGTCCTTTTTTTGTCACTTTTTTTGTTTTTTGTTCGTGTGTCATAAATCAGTAATATTATACAGAGCGTTCAACAATGATTGTAAGGTGTTTGAATTTCCCGCTTTTGCGTTTAATTTTTAAGGTTGGTATGAGAAAACTAATAAACATAGGCGTATCATAGGAAAAATTTCGAAGGCTTTAAAAAATTTATGAGGTTAAAAAATTTTTGTTTCCAATTTATCAATGTGTAACTTTACTAACAAAATTTAAAAATGTGTATGAAATCAATTAATATTTATTCACATTTTGTCATAATAAATGTTGAAACTTGTTAACTCGAAAGCAATTAAAACATACCACGCCACTGATTGTTAAAAATACGTCGAAAACGTCAGCCGGTACCAATGTTGTTTGTCAAATGTTACTAAAAATCAAGCGCGCCAAATTCAAACACCTTACAATCATTGTTGAACGCTCTGTATTAAAATACAGGGTGCCCATTATGTATGGAATATAGTATATATCTTGGTAGGTATCAACTTTATAAAAAAACATTTTATACAAAAGTTGTTTAATATTTTATTTGCCATAATAAGACAGCATTCAATTGTTTTTATTCAGGAAACAAATGAGCAACGAATAACGCTTAAAGTTTTTTAAATGGCAATGTACAGGGTGGTTCAAATTCAATGTCTGAATAGGCTAACTCGGAAACTATAAGAGTTAGAAAAAAAGTAGCTTACATGTCATGATCTCGTTTTTCGAGAAACTGCTAATGCCGAAAACCTCATAGCGCTATCGTCTTTTGTTTTTCCGCTAGAGGCCAAAATTGAAAATATCGTAAAACCAGCAAGTGCAATTATCTTGGTTATTATTATAGGTGGAGTATTATAATTAAGACATTATATGGACACTTTTTTATAGAGAATTTGATGACGTAGTCAAAAAAATTTTTCGGTTTTAGATTTTGAGATATCACAATTTTCGGTTTTTTTAAATGGAAACAACCACTGATTAGCTTATTAAATTCGTTATTTTTTTCTGATTACAAAAATATAGGGTTCGACAGGTCTATTTCTTATCGTTTTAGAATAAAGCTAAAAATAAACTTTTTTTATAAAATTTCCATCTAGTGTCGTCGACGAAATTAATTTTACAGTTTCCTGTAAGTTACGGGGCGGTAGGTAAAATCTAAAAAGTTGACAATTAAATAAGAAAATAACTTCTGGTATTTAAAAACAAATCATTTTTTAATGTGTAACATTCTAACATGTCAAACTTTTCAAAATTTTCGCAATTCATCTTAAAAACAGGATTTTTAAAGTGACACTTCAGAAAATTTTTGAATACAAACTAATGTTATGTTTATTTGAATTAAAAAAAAAATTTAAAAAAAACATGAGCGCCATCTATCAATAATTTATTAAGTCATTTAATAATAATATTAAATATTAATAAAAAATGTGAAATAACGCAATCTATTCCAACTTATGTGTAAAACATATATAAATTAAATAGTTCAACAAATATATTTGTTTCAAATATCAGAAATATGTTTTTTTTAATTTGTAGTTATAATTTACAGGAAACTGTAAATTTAATTTTTTTGACAACACTAAAAGAAAAGTTTATTGTTAGCTTTATTCTAAAACAATAAGGAATAGACCTGTCAAACTCTATATTTTTGTAATCAGAAGAAAATAACGAATTTAATAAGCGAATAATCAGTGGTTGTTTCCATTTAAAAATTTAACTTGCAACATGGATCACATAGTTCTTTAAAAAAGAACTGAAATATACAGGATGTTCCATTAGTAATGGGACACAGAGCAACACTGAATTCCTTACGTTAAATTATTATGGTTTAACCAAATTTATCTTAGTCCAATTGTTAATAATAACGGAGATACAGATGGTTTAAGTTAATATTTTATTTTTGTTTTTCTTTAATAATATCACTTTCTTTTACATTATGAACAAAATTGGTACATTATTTAAGACGATAAATAATAATTTAGTATTAGTTTTTATCTATCTTTCAGATAGCGCTGTCTACCCTAAAAAACTCTCTTAAAGTAGTCATATCTTTTTCAGCGTTAAAATTTTTACAACTCACAACTTGAAACAGTTTCTCAGACATTTTTACATACATTTTTGGTATACTAATCTTTTCTAAAGCTTTCCGTTTTCAAGATAATCACTATTTAAGGACACTTTGCAAAATTTAACTATGTTCAACTGACCAATAGGTCAAGATAGATTTACTAAACTGTATTAATATCAAAATTAAATTAATTTGTTTTTGTTGATGTAGAAGAAATGATGCAAAATGAGAATTTTGAATCGGAAGATAAAACATCAAAGGTATTTAAGAATAACAAATTAGTAAAAGAAATGGAACTCAAATTATTGACTGAAATAAAAGAAAGAGCCGATCAAAAAATTAATAATCCAAAAGAGTCCCCGACTGAAAATAACTCGATTAGTACGATATCCCACGATCCAGTGGCCCAATTGGTGAGTGAGTTATCCGAAAGTCTCAACATCGAACCAGAAAGATCCATTCCAAAGTCGCCACCAACGCAAATAGAATCGAAAGAAACAGTTTCCGGGACGTCATTCGTTCCGCAATTAAAGAAAACGGAAACAATCAAAAAACCGAATGATTCGGGGATAATAATCGATTTTAAATCGAGATTAAGAAAAGTTGATAAAGAAGAAGATAAGGTGGAAATAAAAAATGATGAAGATAATAACGATAGGAAACGTGAGAGCACTGCAAGTTCCGATAGCGGTGGTGGGAGTAATTTAAAAATCGAGGAAGATTCAGATAAAAGAAAAAGCACGGGAAGTATAAGTAGTCTAAAAAAAATTTGGGAAACTAAAGAAGCCTCCGAAAACACCAACAGTTTAATCCAATTAAGTCCCAAATTATCGGTTAAATCAAAAAACGATGAAACAGAAATATCACCAGTTGAAAGTTCAGATGATTCAACAAAAATAATAAAAAGATGTTGGCCCCCAACCAACACAATCGATGAAAAACCTCAAATCCCAACGAAACCCCCCGTAAAAGCAACAAAACCAATTTTAACAAACCGTCCCACGACGACGACAACAACAACAACTTCCGCAATTTACGCCACACCCATTCCAAATTCAAACAACTCAAACCATCAATCGACTTTAAATAAACCACCGATATCGGCGAAACCAACGGCGCCAAACGAAATTAAAACGGGCAAAGAAAATATTTTAGAAATATCCCAAGCTCTCGAAACGACCCTTAACGGAATAAAAACAAACCCGACCGTTTCAACGTCTTCCTGGTTACAATTATCGGATAAAATCGGTTTGTTACATACTTCTTGTGCCGATTACGCGGATAGCGTCGTTTTGGCACACACCAAATTTCAATTTAGAGAGTTAATGACCAAATTGGAAACGCAAGCGAGACAAATACGTTCCGCCGGATCGAGGAATACGACTGAGAATGCGCGTTACGTTAACGATGTGCTCAATACGATTAAGGATGTGGTGAACGTGATGTGTCGATAAACAAAACGAAAAAGAAAAAAAAATTTTGTTTTTTAAAACGAGATGATTAAGATAAAGAGGTAAGAAAGAAAGGACTCATTTATTTATGTATTTTTAATAGTTCGAAACTGTATTTAGAGACTGTAGGGCAAAAAATAAGTTAATATTTCTTTTTTTATTTTATTTTTGGCGTATCTAAAATCATTTCATCCAAAATTCCGCACTTTATAGAATGATTTTCACTCAACTGTGATACCAGTAGATTTTTTTTTTGTTTTTAATGTATGCTCAATAACTTATTTTTGTCTAAAAACCTGATTTGGACGTTGATTAAATTAAATATGATGTATAATTTTTAAACTCGGATATTAATTAATATTATCGTATACTGAGTGATAAAAAAAAACAAGTTTTTGGATAATTGGCACAAGCACTAATTAATTATATAAGAAAGTATCTCAAAACCGAAAATTATTTGATTTAGTTAAAAATACTATTTTGTTTAATGGTCATCATCAAATTGTGATATAAAAAGGCTGAAGTACGTTCATCTACATTTTCATTTCGTAATTAATTCTGTTCGAAAAATTTAAGAACAGTCACTTAGGCATATTATTCATTACTCCATTCTATGTGTGTCTCTTTATGGTAAATAAATAAGATAATAAAGTAAAAATTAATCACGATTTACTCGATAAGTTGGTAAGCATGATTTTTATGGTTCCATATTAAACAAAATAGTATACTTCAATATAAATATGCTAGTCTTAAATATATATATATTTTGTGAAATATATATATATAAATACATAAATAAGCTATTGTGTAAAAGGGGATGATGCGCGTGAATGTGTTTTTGAAATTAAGTTAGAAATTAAATCCTTCTCAATGAGCATTTTTGAGAAATTAATTATTACTCTTATAATCTAATAATAAACGTAAGATACTAAATAATTTTGTACAATCCAAAGATACATTTAGGTGTGTAAAATTCCTATTTCGATGATTTATATATAATTATTTTTATTATTATTATTATCCGTGTTTATTCTTAAAAAAATAGCGATTTACTCCTTTTTTTAATTAATTTATTATGTATATGTTGTCTTTGTATATAATTTTCATGCATTTGGACTGTAATAAATTCCCTTTTTTTATTATAAATTTATTTATTTATTTTTTTTTTAATTTTCTTATTTACTAACATATACAGGGGTGTTCCGTTAAGGATGCGGAGCGGCTGTATCTCGACAACGGTAAAGCCTAGAGGTTTGGAAAGAAAATCATTATAGGCATAGTGGCCAAGAAAAATAACAGGAAATTATTTTGAAGTTCGTAATTCGACCGCTAGGGGGTGTAACTGCCATTGAGAAACATAAAATTTCCTCTATCTCAGAAACTTAGACGATGAGCTATAATTTTGACAACATCATTTAACAGCTTGGATAATACCGCATCGCTTTTGTTTTGCGATATTTCTCATATCTGTCATAATAAGGGAGGGAGAGGCCAATGCGTTTTCATATATTTACATTTTAATATCTCCTGGACCATTCAACCGATTTGAATATTTTCGGTGTTGTTTGAGAGCATTATCATACGCTTCTGCGTTAGTAAATGACATGTTTACAGTTACCATGGTTATGTAATTTGTTTTTCTCGATGAGGTAACTGGATCAGATTGATGGCAGTCGAGTTTTTAACATTTTCTTCTATAATTCGAGAATGGATGGAGATATCGAGATGCGGTTTTCACTAATATTAAGCAAATTTTATGGTGATTAAGGGTCTGTGAAGTAAATAGTACCGTTCCATTTAACTTTCTTTCAAAAATCACAAAAATATATAACCGCTGCAGATAACAAGCGGTCTTACTTAAAATATCTTTTAAAAGAGCATGAAATGCTCCCCTAGTGGTCGAATTACGAACTTCAAAATAATTTCCAGCTATTTCTCTTGTCCACTTTGCTTATAAGGATCTTTTTCCCAAACCTATAGGCCTTACCGTTGTCGAGATACAGCCGCTCTGTAGCCTTAACGGGACACCTGTACATACTATAGTAAAACCTCGATATAACGGACTAATACACGAAAGAGAGTGTCCGTTAAATGAAACATTTCTAATTTGTACTCTAAACTGTTTGAATGAATAATTTTAATGCACACAAATTCGGACAATTATCCACACCGTTACGTTCAGACTATTTAGCTTTATATTTATATCAAGGACTGTAGAATCTAAGAGAACTGCTACATCCCAGGAACAGGTTTACAGCTTGAAGGCCCGTTCGTGACGTCAGCGCTAAATAACAAAACTAGATTTAATACCAGAACTAGAAATGTTCGGGTTTAGCCCTACGTCTTTTAAGACGGCTAAACCAGAATGTTTCTAGTTATAGGGTTAATATTAGATATATTTTTAATTCAATAAAAATATACAACAATCTAGCACTGAATAACAATTAAAACTAGAACTAACACTAGACCTAGAATTAGAAAATTTGGGTTTAGCAGTGCGTCTGACGACGTACTAGTTAATGCTGAATAACAATTAAAACTAGCCTTAACATTAAAACTAGAAATATTCGGGTTTAGCCGTCTTAAGAGACGTGTGGCTAAATCCGAATGTATGGCTGTTTCAAGTTACATCAGGGAACAAGGCTGATTATAGAAAGGAACTATCAAAATATAAAAAAATGATAAAAATTAATTTAGACAATACGTGGGAAAAAAAGTGTAAACAACTAGACACATACTTAGGAAGATCACGATCATTCATGCCTTGAAGAATGGGCACCATGTGAAATGAAAGAACAAACCAAATCACAGAGAAGAAAGTAGCTACAGGAAGAACAACACATCTCTTATTTGTGGATCTCACCACGGTATATGACAACGGTGGCCAAACTGCGGCTCGCGAGCCACATGCGGCTCTTTGAAGGATTATTTGTGGCAAAATTTTTTGCAGAAATTATATTAAATATAATTAAAATTTGCCTTTTTTGCATACCTTTTTAATATATACGTATTTATTGTGGCTCGCGAAACATTTAACATTTAATAATCAAGGCGATACAAGAATTGTACAGACGGGCAGAAGCAGCAGTAAAGATAAACAAACAAATATCAGAAAGCTTCTACATCACCAAAGGCCTCCGATATTATTCAACATATATGTGCATTATGAACAAACAACGCTGTAAAGCCTACATTTTGCTGGCGACCAGGAATATTTCTAGGTCTAGTGTTAGTTCTAGTTTTAGTTCAATGAAAATATACAACAACCTAGCGTTATCTAGTGCTACTTACAATTAGTATTATCTAGTACTGTCACAAGAACTAACACTAGACCTAGTTTAGCTTGAAATTCTACATAACCCAAATTCAACAAGAATTAGATAGAAATCACGTCTCTAGAGAAATAGACAACGGCAGAAATACTTTTCTTATTGTATTTGTATCTAGAAATGATGAGGAATACGATGCATTTGTAATTAAATTAACCAGAAATTCTGTTCAATTCGAAATTTGCTAGAATTCAAGGAAAACTGGTTTTCAAGAAAATGGCAAACAATTTTTGTTCCATATTTGCTGTTTTAAGATGATGAAGACTACGATACAAATTAAATTGACCTCGGTTTTTATTGCCCTAGATATAGGTTACTAAATTCATGGATTTAAAAAGTTTCTAAATTCCAAGAGAATAATTAAAACAACACCCACAACGAGATCTGGTGTTAGTTCTACTTTTTGTTCAATAAAAATATACAACAATATAATAACAAATATACAATTTACCGTCCTTGATTTATACATCCTATAGGCAACTCGGGGAATACCCAAATTATATTTAAATATCGAGATTTTACTGTACTTTTATTATGTATAAATTTTATTTTTTTATGTTAACAGAAATTCCTTCATATCACATCACCTAAAAAAAAAGAAATATTAAAAATCAAAACTCATAATGGTCCTAATCTTTTGACCGTATCTGTAACAACGACGGGATTATCGTTTTATTATTATTGTTTGGAATCGAAAAGTATAAAATTCTAAAATTAAACGCTTAAACATTAGCGACTACTTTTGTATATATACGCGCCACACACTTTTTGTACAGGCTTTATATTAGATAGTTGGTACTAAAAATAAATAAACAGACTGTATACTTAAAAAAAAATAAATTTGCTAATACTTTAATTGTACTTTTTTTTATATAATCCCAAAAGTAAATTTACTAGTAAATAATATTTTACTTACTTAAAAAAATCAAACGTACCATATAACTTTACAGATTTAAGAGATACTTTAATGAAAGATCAAATAACATTGAGTTAAATATCGAAAAATGGTAGAGATTTAAATAAGTGTGTGGACAAAACACTAATAACTGACTCGTTTGTGTGGACGATTTATCATTTAGATACTTTTGAGGACAAGGACAAATGGTATAAAGAGTAAAATTACAAAGACGTCAAAAATGCAGAATCATGTGAACGTTTTAAATTATTATTAGAAGTGTCCAAGAACATTAATGTGATAATTGGAAATACAAATGTTGATTTAAGGAACTATAATAGGTCTAAAATTGATGTTTGTGGATAAGCTTGTGTAAAATGCAAGATAAACAATATAAAAGGTGATGTAAAATTTGATTTCTGGGAGAAAGATTTTTATTGCATTAATGACAGGAGAAGAAAACTGAATGAGGAGGATTTAATTAACATGGATCCAGATGGAGAGGAGTCCGAACAAGTTGCTTTCATGCTAAAATGATTGTAAAATCTGATCAAGTGGAGATTGTTTCAAGTAAATTAGTGGTGGATCGGATATTCGGCAACTATCCGGTATCCGGCCATTTTTTAAAATCCGGTTATAATATGATATTCAAGTTCAACCCCAATAGGACTTTTTTCATTGAATACAACCTTATTTATATCAGGTTTGTCATTAGCAACCTCATTGTAACAATCCCAATACGATATATAAACTCTCTTTTTGCAGTTTCGTCTAGTTTTC